CAATACTAATATCTGATTATTAGCAGCGGGTTGACCTTGTGGTTGCAGGCAACGCCGACCAATCAATCGGACGGACCATAGGCGTTTATGGTAAACGCATCAGCCAGCAACGGGCCACAGCAATCTCGCCCCTCCAAACCATTGCGTTTTTGTAACGCAAGCGCTGTGGACCGGCCGAGGTCCGTCTAAAGTAAAATTTAAAGATTGATGAGAGGAATGCTGCAGCGTTTAACTTCGCCTGATGTATTAACAAACGGGAATTGGGTTTGTTCACACACCACACACACGCACGCAGCAGAGGTTAGTCGGTTAGTCAAATATCTCTCATGACTACAGATCGGTCACACGTACAAATACGACACATTAAGATCTGATCGTCAGGGTGTTGTTGTCTCCTTGTGATGTCAAACACAATGCACCCAATTTCCCAATCCGACGGAAAGAGCGGAGCAACTCGACTGATTGTAGATGAACTGCTGAACCAAGTGTTCACTTCTCGTAGTAGATGAACTCAACGAATGTTCATCCAGCAAAAAAAATAAACACCTCAGTTTCATAGTTGACATTTCATAGGGGATACCTCCGGGTGCAACTTCCTGAACTTCAAACAGGTTGAAGTAAAATGTACTGGATAGCTGCACTCTTGCTCTTTAAATCTATTCGAGTGTATGAATATTGATGAATAATAGATCGATAAGTAAAATACATCGATTTGTGTGCAGTCTACAATATATACGATATTGACCGAACTCATACAACATCTTGACTTTCATCGCATTTGTTTTCACTTATATTGATCGAATGACATTAAATCATACGATTTCGCAACTTCAGTGACGGTTTCTGATGCATCAGTTGTAAGATAACAAAGCTTCAGTAAAAAGCGTAATTAGAATTCAGTTATAAAAACGAGTCACAAACATAATAAGGATATTGTACTTCCACTTTATCAATGTTCCATTTGCCTTTGTTTTTTTGCAGTGGGAGATCAAGTTTGGATTAAATACTTTTAACCCCTAGCTATCGGCATACATTTGTGATATTAGAAAATGAAATGTATTTCAAAATGGGAGTCATGTTGCATGAGTTCGATCAACAGCTGTATACATATCCTTCCACGAACGCGTTACGCTTTGGCCGATTTATACCAACGAATGAACGGCAATTATCACTGATTATTTTGAAATCTTTGCTATTAAAATCCAATGAATCATGTTGTCAAAGCCAGACATGGTTAAATTTTCGGTATGTCATTGGTTTGCCATCCTAACTGAGTACTTAAATATCGATTAGCAAACTAATTCGAACGCCGAACTGCAGGCAAACTTCGCAAATGTCGTGAGTTATATACACGAAGGTGTTTGACTCTTCCCTAATCTTATTTCCTTTCAATAAACAATCATTCCTAATCCTAGGTGAGTGAATTGCTTAATCAGAAAAAGTTATGTGGTTTCGTGATAACATTAGTCGATTAGCAGTGGCCAAAGAAACCTTCTCACACAGTGTGGGGTAGACTAATTGCTGATCGATAGATTTTTGACAGAACCCTCACTTCAGAACATGGGAGATTTGGCACGAGAGTGGACAACTCCCTGATCGGGGGTTAGTCAGCATGCATTCACGATCTTCTGGTATCAACTACTCAATCCTTTGTTTTGGCAAATGTTTCAATTCATAAATAAATTTTCCACACAGGTAAAGCAAACTTTTACAACAGATTTCACCATAATCTTAATTTGTCATATGGTCGTTGATTTTTACACACAGCACAATCGAGTGATGAAAAAACAGAAAGTGATAAATCCATTCGTCAACAAAACTGACGAACAACTAGGGTGATAAAAATTTAATTGTGGAAACAAAATCTTTGTCTACAGCTCGCAAACTATACGAGCAAACGGCCTTCGTTCAAGCTGGTTGTTCAAGGATATCCCTTGTATCTTACAGTTACCGCCTAACTTTCCCTCTTTTTTCACTGTTTCCCACACAAGCCCCCGAAATGAGCACATCTCTTTCACCGAAAATTGATTCTCCCATTGCTTTGAAAAAACGCAGTAACACGTTAGTTCCATTGTCCCTATTCAACCTAAACAGACCACATAAAGAAGACGAACAAATACAAAAAAAGATTTAAAAAATGTGTACGGTGAAACAAACAAAACAACAAACACCGTTTTTCGATTTCTTTTGTTCTCGGCAACTGTCTCTCTTACATTGATCTCATATGCGTCTGAATCCTCACTTTCCTCTTATTATTGTAGTTGACACGCTAAAACCATATATGTATCTTTATATGAATAATTTACATACATTCTGACGTTTTAATAATAATAAATAATACCTGTATGAAGTTATTTAAAATTATTTGAGTTTTGAACTCCGAGCAATCAACATTCGGAAAAGAGGTCGCAACCGGTTGAAGATTTTCATACGTAAATTGATAACGCGGATCGGAGTTCACGGAGTTTGAATCCACAAACTGTGATAAGTACGGGGTGGATCACGTGAATCCACTGTTTATCGTCGCCTCCGCTGAAGCTATACTTTTTCCCTTAAGGCTTGAGCTAGAACCCACAGTCCTTTAGCCTCCACCCGTAATCATTCGGCTAAAATCCCAAATGCTTTAGCCGCTACCCGTAGTTCGTTAGCCTGGACGAACAAACTTTAGCCATACCTGTGTAGGCGAGCCGGATCAAAAAGTATCAAAATATTCCAAGGTCAACAAATATTGACGCATTTTATTTTCTACGATTGTTGATGTTGCAAATCTTGATTAAGAAATGAGGTGGGGTGGTCGCACGTCGTACCACATGTTCATTGGCGAAGGTCTGAACGACGTGCTCATATCGTCAAATCATTTGACGCAGGTCGTACAGCTTCAACTTTGCATAGCACGTGCCACTCATGTTTTTAAAAATCTCAAATGTCATAGCTTCGCATTCGTAAGCTATTGCATCAGTCAAAATCAAATCAAATCAAACAAAACGGGTATGCTTCGGTGCCGTATATTCACTTAAGGTAAACTGTGTAGCCACATTAACAAGCCAAGGATAATGAACACTGTTCGCAAAAATACACCCCCATTACTGTTATCAGTGTATCAACTGTGTATTACTTGCTTAACTATGACAGTCGAGGGTCGATATTCGTTGACCTCAGAATATTCCGATACTTTTTGATCTGAATCGCCTACAGCCCTTGTGACTGACGTTGGTGCGTCGAGGCTAAAAGACTACGGGTAGCGGCTAAAACATTACTATATTTTCCTAACGGGTTGAGGCTAAAGTACTGCGGGTGTTGACTAAAGCTTCATGGGAAGGGGGCAGTGCTCAGTGAGCATACCCGTTTTACTGCTTATTTGCTTCCGACTAGAGCCAAACCAAAAGCCATATTCTAGTCTAAAGATTACATAAGAGTAATGGAGAATTTGATTCAATTTCAAAGAGGTAATTCTTCGTGTATAGAGCAAATGAAGCATGAACTGAAAAACCAGGCTGTTTCAACCTTGTTCAGTCTCATCATCAATGCGAATCCATCGACCTAAATGGGAATCGAACTCGGGATCTCACAAGCAGAACGCAGGCATGCTACCAAACTGGTCACCGGGTCGAGGGATTTGCACTGATGCTGATGAGACCCAACCAAGTCGAAATAGCTGTACAGTGCTTCCCAGGTTCTCAGTTCACACTTCATTTGCTCTACACCCGATGAATTACCTCGTTTAAATCTAAGATTGATAAATCATTTATAATTGATTGCAGAAACGGAATAGGTTTGACCTGAGTAAAAGGTTGAAAAGCCTGTTTGGATGGCCCCAAATTGTCACGCACAGCCAAATGGCGGCCGTTGCGGTGAAACACCTATTCGCAAATCAAATTCGGCACAGCGATCTCGCATATGATCGCGGGCTACAAGCAAAGATGCTCTGATAAATTTGATGCCTCAGTCACTGGTCGCATTTATTTCACAATGGTTCTGCGAGCCAGGATTTTTTTTTTGTTCGTTCTTTGTCCGCAATACTTGCTCCGATTTTGCGCAGCCCTCGTCCATCAAGTAATATACGATTTTCCAACCTGAGGATACGAGAGATGAGTGCGGTCGGGAGAAAGATAGAGCCGTGAAAAAGAATGTGATACGTCGAGAGCAGAAAACATGCTGTACCCACTTACCTCGAAGAATTTTCATGTTTATTCTCATTTCTGTTCCACTTTTTGAGCGGGAAACAAACTGTACCGGAGGAAAAACTGATTCATTTTAACGTGTTACGTAATCTAATTTCAATCTCAGTTGATTGCAAATTGATCGAACAAACAAGGAACAGAATGCCCGATGATTGTCGATTAAATTCAAATGTCACCTTTTGACAATCAGCTAGAATGCCCAAACACCAGCGGAGATAAGAACATAAACGGTCCGTTAATTTAGGGACCTTCGTCACAACGGTCCACCAATTATGTGACATTGTTTTTTTTTCTCTACATACTGTTATTCTGATTGGAGGATTGTCTGGATGATGCATAATTCATACCATGTAAGTACGTTATCACTGATTGACTAAAGTTTGTGCGTCGAGGTTAATGGACTACGGATCGTGGTTAAAGTATTACTGGTTTTCGTTAAAGGATAACGGGTGGAGGCTAAAGGTCTGCGGGTTTTGGCCATAGATTGATGGGAAAGGGTGTAGTGAGTGGTTGCTCACTGTGAGAAATTTGGCATACTGCAAAGTGAATCAGTTGGCTCACTGTGTTGGCATATATACAATAATTGATCGGCAACCAATATCGTTAGCGAATTCCCGGGTGCAACAAAGAAGCTATAAATTAAACCCATCCCCTTTCCCCTAATCGATAATTCAGATATATTTTTCCCGACTTCAATTGCATTTTACATCATTTTAACTTTTTTGCAATCCCGAATGTGTAAAATCTTTGATTGATAGACCCACACGAATGGAACAATCATTTGTTAACCTGAATTTCAAAATGAACGATGAATTTCAGATGCTCCAGTTCACACACAAAGTACAGCGGTTGCGCCGACGTCGAGCCTTGGTTCCCAAGGGCTCCGCAATTTCTCAGGCATGGTGTCATGACTACAATGGACAGAACGTGCAACACAGTTTCATCGGTACCAATCCGAACAATACCAGTTCCGAGGATAGTTCCTCATGTGACAGTTTTGCTCTGCGTCGAGCCACACGGCTCCGAATGCACATGGGTTTACGTGCCGCTGTCCGACGATCCGGTCTGTCTAAAGGAATCGGATCCCGGCACAAACCTGGTGGGACTACATCATCCGAGTTGGACTATACGTCGAGTAGCGAGCAGTCCTGTGACACTGTGATCTTCCTTGGCCGACACAACGGAACGGATACACATTTGGGCGGTGCTCGATCGTCCCGAACCAGAATGGCTCAAATTGTGAGTGGATCGGTTCCTGAGGCACAGTCGGTAAGCGCTTGTTTTTCACTGATACAAAAAAGACGATATTCGGGTAGACTGCTGAAGAATTATTAGTTTCTGTATATTCCTCTGAGTGATCAAACAACTTAGTGACTTAGACATTGAGTGAACGTTCATCAGCACTGAAAAAGTGAACTTTTAAAAGCACGATAGAAATTAGATACACGCAGATGTTACAGATATCTTCTTAAGTAAATAGTACAACATAAATCATTAGTTTTACTATGGGAACTTTTCCTCTAAGGTGCTCACTCTATACCTATTGATCAAACTCGATGAATATCATGAATTTCGCCAGTTGTGTTCTTCCCAGTACCTCATTCACGAAAACTAATATGGTAGTTCCCCACACCAGGTGTAACATACGTCTAATAGTATCCATTTATGTTGTTTCTTCTATCAGTCAAGTGAATCACGAGACGACAACTTACTGGCGCGTCAGTCGTTAGGCATGACATAGGTGTTGTTCTTCAATTTTGTCTATACCTTTTGTGTTCCCCCCTTGTGGTGGAGCACTTGCTTCAGTCGGTGTGGCATGAAGTTCACCAAGTTCATAATCACTAGCTGTGGATTCCGTTGAATCGATGCTTGATGTTCATTCTGCTGGGCACTCCGGTCTTTCGCAGTTTGGGCAACGGATTTGCTTATGCATCTTCATCGACCGAGTTGGTTGCTTTAAAAGTTGTAATTAGGTCATCCACCATGAGAATTTCCCAGCTAATGGTAAGTGTAGTTCTTTGAAAATTTGGTTTTCAAGCGCGTAAAGCAGCTTGACACTGTGCTGATCACTCTGACTTATAAGTCGAAAAGTTTATATTGTCAATAAAAGACATTTTTTATTGTTGCACTTATCAACCGAAGAATCAATGATTTTCAGATTTCTGCATGCTGTTACATGGCTGGCATATACTATGACTTAACCTTCGATTTTCACCAGTTTCAAATCTCATTCCTACGACATTTGTGTGACGCTTTCCTGCACTTTTGAGACCCGACCGCGGGAATTCTTAGTTAACGACAATGTCGTTCCGAGTGATAGCTGATTTGAAATGTGCAGAGATCTCTTAATCTCGTCCCAGTTGCCGCAACGAAGTCGTTTCGTAGTCCTGGAGAATCAGCTGCTGATCAAATTCAAACAAGAGCGGAAGAATACCCACCCACAATGAATTCACACAGCTACTCAGTTGCTCCTATGCGCAACCATTAGTGTACAGTGAACAAGTCAAAACATAGAGAGTGGCATATGAAGGTACATGTTTTTCTAAGTTCACACTATAAACAAGAGTGAATTTATGGGGTGCAGCCACAGGTCATTAGGTTTTTCTACGTTGAAGCTGGATTTCTGTCTCTTCTAATCGGTAGTTTTCAATTGTGCTGTACTAAACACACTCGGATATAAAGATTTTCATCTTTTTCTTGTTGACCTATCCAACAGTTACCATTGAATTAGTCCATTTCGTGTTGTTCACTCAATTCCCGGACACAATCTAAGGCCACTCCGCTCTGGACTGGAGTCGTAATCAGGGTCATCGATCGTTGATACCCAGAAACATTTCCATTCAATGCACCCCCTGGGACATAAAACTATATTACATAATAGCTGTTTATTGTTATAACCCCACACCGCAAATAAGGTGAATAATGAAAGGTGTCCCCTGGATTTATTACACATTTACCTCAAAACCCTTAGTTCCTGGATTCCGGCCCTGTTGGAAACACCAAATGTTCTCAAACCCCATCAGCATACAAACAATGCACACAGGTTCAATTTCAAAATAAATGGTTGTACAATTTTGGTAATAGTGGGAACAGCTTTATTAGGTAGTACATAATTGATATAATTTGCTGTCGGTATTGACGTGCTCTGGATCCCAGCTTCCGGGGTTTAACCTATACTACCTCTGCCACCAGCACCAGCACCATCAGCACTCAGCTTTGCTGATAGGTAGATAAGCTGTCGTCTCGCTCAGTATTGCGCCAATCCTCGTGGGGTCTGCTCTGATTCATCACAGAGAATCAGTGCTTGCCAGCTCCCGTCATCCGAAAGCAGATCTCCCCGATCGCGCGGTCAACCTATGTACTACATATGACCTTGATGAGTGTATTGAATAAAGTAATTGTGATGGACGCTTTTGATTGCATCGGAACCTAATAACATTGATCCACCCCCCTCTCCACCGCGCATGAATGATACACGCACACTTATTCCACGGAACTTGTGAACCAAAGGCGCTTAGAAGTTGTTCAAATTGTAATACATTTCGTTTATGTTGTTTCCATGAGAACGAAGTGCTACGGAACACGAATACGATTGTACTTCATCCGATCCACTGATCCGGTGATGGAACCATAAAAACAAACTCAGACAAATAAATTTTTATTCAACTAGTTTCACTTTGTTGATTTTCTCTCCCCAACCACCCACCCACTCCCAAATTGAAATCGATAATTCGCTAATTTTGTTTCAAATAACATCTCTTATGGCTGAATTACAAGCAGATTATGCAATTTGTATGAACATCCAGATAGCACCGTTAGACAACTTGGTAGGCGACCGCATGAAAGAAAGATGTGAATACACCAGGAAGTATGAGGTCATTTCATTAAAGCTTTTTGTGTAGAGCTCCATCGTTTCCCAGAGATCAGAGTAACTACACTGATGTGTGTGGAGGCCAATGAATAGAGACACAGTGGTAACCCCATTAGTCCTTTCAATTAGTTTTTGCTATTGTGCTGCTTGATCCTGTACCGAACGGTATCTCCCAAGGAGTACGTATGACCACTGTTGTAACCAAAAAACAAAGTTAAGAGTGATTTCGCTTTCGAACGGGCATTAATTAAGTTTCACTGAAACAATCATCCTCAGATCGAATGAATTTTGACTTTTCTGAGAATTACGTGGTAGGCCGTCACGCCCAATACAAATTAAAATCATCTATTCAGAACTTTCGAACTGCTGGACAAGTTTGGACAACAATCTCTTTCGTCCCACGGTCATCATGTTTGTGGTCACGTGATCCATTGGGATGAGCCCCTTCTGAGTTCGTTACACTCATTGGGTTCTATGCCCACACTATTGAATTATTTTGTCTGTTATGTGGCATAATTTTGAATCCTATCGTACTGTGTTTCATTCCATACAAGAGGACTGCACGAATTCTCCGTTGTCTTTTGCTTCGGCCTACATCTGGTTGGCATCCATGTGAACATTTGGTTCCCTAGGTTTAACAAAAGAAACCAAAAGTCGAACCTTTATCAAATAGATTAGTTTTCAATTGTACTAATATCCACTCGATTCAGGGGTTCCCTATCCTCACATCAAATCCTTCTCATCTCTTTTTGGCTGAGACGCAGCGATGAGATAATGGTGCGGGAATTTCACACAAAGTGCACCAAATTTCAATTCATAGATAAAACCAACCCCAACAACAATATTTGACCGTATTTCTCTTGGCGTTTAAAAGCTGCTCGGTTTAATTAAATGGAACTGATATGCACATGCTTTTCATTTGAGAGTGATAAATGTATTTTGTCTACCGGGAAACGCACAGAGATGGTTTCACCGGAATAAACGATGGAACTATTCTGGGCAGTCATGAGAAGTATGCGCAGCATCTTTTCATTCTAATTTTACTGATTTCTCTTTCGTGGTCTGGGTATATTGGATCACGTAAATCACTGGACTAATCTTTGAAATTTAAATGTCATTTCATATGGATCACTTTTTATTGCATCACACTGGATTTTCAAAACTGAGGCTATCAGAATAAACTAAACACCAATTCATTCCGGATTCTCGCTTACTTGAATCAACAACGATTTGGTATTCTATGTAGAGAACAACAACTGATAGATCGGACGTCTGTGTCTTATTGGAAATCGATAGCCAATAAATTCACTCATTCAACAAACGATCATGAGATTTTCAAGCCATATTTACTGCTCTGAAATTCGAATTGATCCACGTTCCTGGCGGGATGGAGGGAGGGGAGCGCGTATGCCACTTGAGTAACCAGATCTCTACTGGTTGATAAATTACGCAAAAGGTGATTGCACGCGCAGAAAATGGTCTTAGTTAGCATTGCCCAATCACTTACAGTTTTAGAATTGTGGCTGAATTAGCCTGCTTGTTATGAAGTGCAGGAGTAACGTAACAATCTAGTAGACCGTACTGTATGGTCCAGAGACATGGTACGCAGAACAGGGATGAAAGTTGTCGGTTTTCGAGTACCAATGCCTAGGTAGTCTTTTGTGGGTCCAAAGTGAAGCAGCCAAATAAGTGGCGTCCAGATGCCTAGAAATAGGTTGTTAGGTTGTAACTGTAACACACTAATCCACGATCCTGATCTGAATGATATGATGGCAGGAGTATTGTCACCTGAGTTACCGGGTGTGCATCCTCCGTGTTTAACGAGGCATATGGTGATCAGAGGGAAGCAAATCTTGCCAAAATTTCAGTCTGAAGTGAAGGGAACTGGGTCACACATGTCATTTCAGATTCCAGTTTGGGGACATCTACGTACATTACCTGGTGCTAATCGTGGGATTAAGGGAGATGAAGTATGTTGAATGTCACTGTCATCTGACCTCGACTATCCCCAGATAGGAATATATCCTTAGCAAAGCTTTTTTTCATATATAGCGGACGAGGAGCTTAATGGGAGCAAATAAATTCCGTATTAGACATTAGCGAGATCAAAATCCACGCACAGAAAACTGCGATTTGGGAAAATATTTATTTCCCAACTCATGATTAGTTACTAAATCACATATGTATCATCTAATTTGTGGTATATTTCATTGGTTCGCTTTATGCCATTCCAAAACCAGTTAATTTGATAGAAATATCTTATTTCGTTCGGGTTTTATGGTCAAATGATCATTTTGATTGGTTGGTAATAAGAGGACGAGAATCGTGTCAATGTTTGTTGTATGGTGATGATAACTGATAAATCGTCTTTAATCTGCAAGTAGCTGCTAACCAGGTA